CAGCATCTGTGTTACGCTGGTGCCATCGCCTGGATACTGCTGGGAATGCAGTTTAGGAGTTTGAGACCTGAAGCTGTTCCCTGATGAATGGGTAGAACCGCCGGGACAGCAGCAGCTGCCTCTGGGATACAGCTTTGAAAAGCCCAAGGAGCCCCCAGAACGATGCTTTCCAGAATATTGCCTGGCCGGCATCCTCAAGTTTAGGTGGTGCTGAGCCAATATAAGATCACGGGAGGCAGTGTGGCCTAGCGCAGGGGTGGGCAAACTTTTTGGCCCGAGGTCCACATCGGGGTGCGAAACTGAATGGAGGGCCAGATAGGGAAGGCTGTGCCTCCCCAAACAGCCTGGTCCCCGCCCCCTATCTGCCCCCTCCCACTTCCCGTCCCCTGCCTGCTCCCCTCAGAACCCCCCACCCTTCCAACCCCCACCCCCGCTCCTTGTCCTCTGACTGCCCCTCCTGGGACCCCACCCCCATCTAATCCTCCCCCCCAGTTCCCCGTCCCCTGCCCCCCCAGAACCTCTGCCCTATCCAACCGCCCCGTTCCCCATCCCAACTGCACCCCCGAACCTCTGCCCCATCCAACTGCCCCCTGCTCCCTGTCCCCTGACTGCCCCCCCGGGACCCCCTGCCCCTTATCCAACCCCCTGACCCCTTTACCATGTGGCTCAGAGCAGCATATCTGGCAGCCACGCTGCCACTCTGCCCTGCAGAAGCTTGCAGCCCCGCCGCCCAGAGCGCTGCCCACACGGTGGCGCAATGAGCTGAGGCTGCGAGGGAGGGGGAACAGCAGGGGAGGGGCTGGGGGCTATCCTACCGGGCCAGGAGCTCTGGGGCCGGGCAGAATGGTCCCGTGGGCCAGATGTGGCCCACGGGCCATAGTTTGCCCACCTCTGGCCTTGCTGATAAGAGTCCTGAACCCTCATGATCCATAAGTTCTAGTTCCAGCTCTGCCCCTGTTCTCCTGGGTGACCTTGGGCAAGTCACTTCCCTGCTCTGTGCCTCAGTTTCCCAACTGGTGAAACTCCTCCTTTTTTAAGGCAAACATGAAGAGAACCAGATAAATTCATTATTATCCAGCTTGGGCCAATTCTCTTTATTCCCTGATGAGACTCCAACCTTACTACCCCCAGGCAGCTCAGGGGAGTTGCAGGCTCAGGCTCTGTCTTGCAGGTGAACTAATTTAGTTTTCTTGTTTTCCTCTTACGATCTAGAGATAGAAGTGCTCCAGGCCAGCTCTAAAATGAGAGGCAGCTCAGTAAGCACCTTCCCCCACCTGCCCCATCTCTACCCTGGTCAGCAAGGGCCAAACACCAGCTTTGGGGAGAGAGGGCTGGGACCGCTGGCAGCAGGACTGCCATGGGAGGGCAAATAGGGAGCCAGGCTGTAGGGGACAGCCACAATGCTTAATGAGTGTGTATCGCCTTTCATCAGACCAGATCCTGGGGCCAGATCCTGGCACAAAAGCTTTAAGCTGCTCTGGTAGCACAAAGGGGGACTTACATGGGCCTGAAGAGGGCAGCTGGAGAGGCTCTGGTGCAGGATTCCCTGGGTCTGTACCACCCCTTCTCACACAGGGCACGGCTAGAACATGTTTCATGGCCTGGTGAGCTTGGCTGATTTGACAGCCCCTTGCAAGCAGCGGCCAGGCTTGAACCCCATTTTCAATCAGTAACAAATGGATCATTTTAAAAAAACCCTGAAAAGGTGCCAAAAATTTGACGTCAACAAATATGGCAAAAAAAAATCTCATTTTGAGGGGGAAATAACTTGGAAAAGTTTCAACTGGCTCTTGGAATAGTGCCCTCAAAATACTGCTAGGGACACCCTAGAGGACGCTTGGGAACAGGCAGTGGCTTTGTAGCTGTGTTGGTCCCATATCAGACAGGCAAGGGGGGTGACGTAATAAGATAGCCCCCTCACACACCTTCTCACTTTCTAGCCAGGCCTTGCTAAACTTGCTCAAGAGCTGTTAAGATACACGCTAGACCTGCCTACTTCCGGGTGAGCTCTAGAGGGCAGGTGGCCTGGCCTGGAGAAGTGGGCTGCATTTGACACCCCTGGCCTACTCTCCAGGGAGATTCAAAGTACTGTCCTAAAGCAGGGGCCAGGATGACAAAGTTAGAGTATTACTTGGCCATCTACAGCACATTTCCCACTGCTGATAGGAGCTCTGCCCCAAGAGCAGCGGAGAGGGCTGCCTCAACACAGCAACGCAACTTCTGGTTAGTAACGTTAGTTGCATTCAGTGGGGAGAGAGGCAGGACATGTAGGCCCAGTGCTATCTCTGCCCTCTGTACATACACAATTACTGGACTTGTGTGCACAAAGCAGGTGCACAGCTGCACATCTAAATTATGTGGAAATTTGCCCTTCAACGTGTCATTGGAGTTAAGAGTCAGCACCTCCTCAGGAGACAAACATGACTCAGCCTACACATCACTAAGCAGTGTCATGCTGGGGCAACACTGCACTTGGCAGGGTTTCTTCACATCCCTGCCGTGAAGAGACTTTGTTTTAAATGCAGGTTTTGAGTCTGCAGAATCTAGTGTACGTGCTGGATAAAACGCATCCCGGGGCACAGGCAGTCACAGGCTCCGTGCCTGACATGCACAGACAGGATGGTTGTGCAACACAAACGTGGCGAAATAACATCTCAGGTGAAAGTTTTGAGTAGCATGCAGCAATCCTCCCTTGGCAAATAGTGAACCCAAGCCCCATGTGCCAGTTAGGTCTTGCATTTCTGGCAAGGATGTGGTCTATGTGGGTTGCAAGAATTGCCAATTGCAAACTGTCTCTCACATGGTGAAAATACCTGCCCCAGTTGGCAGACCTCTCCTAGAACAGGAAAAGGCAGCATGCTCCATGAGCAGGGCCAGTTCTGGCTTTGCAGGTTCGAGGTGCCAGCTGAACCGCTCGTTCCTGCAGTAATGGGGATAGATTTTGGCCCTGGCCACTTCATGCATAATTGACAAAGTCTTTGCTCCAAGGCTGAGGCACTGGACTCAGGGTGGCAAAGATCACAAGTTGCTATCCCAAAGATGCTCTGGCAGTCAAAGTGACAGGAAACTTTTACCCCCAGCTAAGAGGCTCTTTGTAACCAATTCACACATTTCTTTCCCTGAGAAAGGTAAGGCTGAGTTGCTGGTGTAGGGCATGACTGCGGGCTAGGGGAGGCTGTGGGCTCTGTTCTGGACACACACATACTGGTTATGAAAAGTGAAAGGTGTCTTCCCTGGCATGAAATGCATCATTTTAAATGTATGAAGAGCTGTGCGCTGTGGAGGCCTGACAACAGGGGTAGGGCTCCTGCTTCTGAGGCTAGAGATCATGGGGTCAAAGCCCATGTGTCCAGGGCTTGGGTATGAAAAGTGCTGTACATTTCTAGTTTGCAAAAAACAGCTGTTATACCAACTGGGCCATAAATTTACCCTAATTGTGAGCTCAACGGCAGGGAAAGTGGAGCCAGGTTATCAGTGTTCCAATCACATGAAAAACACTGATGGGAAAAGGCAACAAGGCCAACAAAGCCTGTTCTATGAAACCGTGTAAAAGTGAAGAATGGGCTGAGTTCCTCTGCCCACAAGGGGCTCTGTCATACAACTCAAGGACTGTGTTGAATAAACAAAAAACGTGGGCCTGGAAGGTAACAGACTGAACTCAGCATGTCAGCAGTTAGGCCTAATTGGTAAGAAAAAAAGAGGCTGGACTATTCTGCCCATCACCCCTTTATTGAGTCCCTTTGAAAGAGGCTTTTGGGGGCAGATCAACCAAGGGATGCCTGGAGGAGGGGGAAGGCCATCAGACTCCCACACCAGGACTCTCGTCCTTTGCCCAGGGTTGCTGAGTCATTGCATCATGATGCAACCGCACTGTGATCTGGGCTTCCTGACCACATGAATCAAAACTCCTGCTGAAGACCCAAGATCCTACTCTGTCTTCCCTGCCCGCCCCACTATTTTCCCTCCTATCCTCTCTCTGCTTTCCATGTGATCCTAAGGTCATCTGTACCACCTGGCATCAGCACACTGTGATGAGATACCCTATCCAGCTCTGCCCAGCCTGAGAGAGACCAGTAGAGAGGGACCAGACCAGCCAGATGATGTCCCAGACCCCAGACCAGAAGATGAGCCAGGGTAACTGCTATCATGACTGACGGGCCAGACCAGAGCATCTGGCTGTAGCTGACCTGCTGCCTGTAGCCCTGGGAACATCAACAAAGCTGTATTTCCTCCATCTTTACTACGCTGCCTCTCCCCTTTGTGCTTCTCTGTTTGTCGATTAGGAAAGGTGACCATTCTTAACATCTTGCAACTGAGCAACAAAACAAGCCCTTCCCCCCTCTTGCCCAGCCCCCAAGAAGGGAGGTCTGATGAAATAAGACTAACTGGTATCATCGCTCTTTAAATGTGAATTTGATAACCAAATCCTAACTTTGATTTATAGAATCTTTTCAGGGTAAGTGCTTTATGACTTGTTTTAGCTCCTTTTCTCTTTGTGTATCCCCATCAATGACTCTCCAGGCTTTAGCATTTGTTTCTGTTTGCCATGAACTATGCAGGCTGAAGTCTCTGGTTTCCAAACCCCACCCCCTCTTTATTTAAAACTGTTTAAAGTTGGACAGCTTCCAGGTCATGTTAACACCTTTGGCTCTTTTGGCCCTTATACTCCATGGAAATGAATACAGCATCTCCCCAGGGCAAACAAGAGGGTGGGTTCAGCTAGATACAGAAAGTAAGGGTACAAAGGTATGACATGTAAAGATAATCCTATTATTTGCTTTTGTTGAGGCTCCTGTATTTTGAGATAATTGCTTCATTTACAAAGTTTGATTAGGATGACAAATACTACCATGCTGGCATGAATCCAGAGCTCTGGCTACCTGTGAAAGTCCCCATTGCACAACTCTACCAGGCAAGGCTATGTTATTAATGTATTTTGAGCACTAATGGTGCGTGTTGGCATGCTGAGGTAAGGGGGAGATAAAACACACTACACATACTTCTGGTAAATGCTGCTTTATTTGTTGAACTCCCCCCTCCAAAAAGAAAAAATCGTCAACTATCTAAGCAAAAAACCCCATGAGAAAGACAGGTCTACAATAAAGCCATGTCGCTACAGATGCGCCTACAGCTCCTCTAATGCAGCATCGGCTTTGGTAACAAACTTGTCAAAGGCAAGTTTTTGATTAACAAGTTAGAGTAATTTTAGTTCTAAAGGCACATGGCAGCTTGGACAATTCCATGAGCTACCACCCCATCCAATTTTGGCTGCTTATTCAGCAATTCTCACAGCCCAGCTGTAGCTACTTTGATAATCTTTGTCACATTGTGAATCATTATTTGCAGGGGTGCGTCTCATTGTAGGATGGGATCTTTCTTTTGAAGCATGAAGTGTTTCCATCCTGCCCCAGCACCAATATTAAAATAGGAGAGACCCATGAGAACAAGCGTTCATCACTATTACAAATCCATCATCCTCTTCCATATATTAGCAGTTTCCAGTGGAGAAGCACATTTCAATTTTCTAGCTATAAAGGTGTGTGGAGGGTGAGTACCAAGTGGATGAATTATCAAGAATTTCATATTGTACTGCTGCTGCCCAGCTGGTTTCAAGCAGATAATACAAGGCTGCTGATCACATGGCTTACCAGAACCAGCATCTGCCATGACTCTAATCAACTCTGAGCCAGCCCCAGGAAGGCTCCCTGAGAAGCTAACACCAGGCACGGCAGCTGTCAGTTTAACTGGTCTGACAACTACTCCCTGGAGCAGCCTCTGTCCTTCCCATCCCAAGGTGAACGGCTCTGCTAAAAACCACATGATTGGCAGTCTGGTATCTCTGCTGGCAGCGACTTGCTCTAAGGTTGCGGGGTGTAACGGAGATACTTCTTGCCTGACGGGAGTTCCTTGGTGAAGATTCCTTCAGGAAACAGCTTTTTGGCCTCATCCTCTGGCACGCTGGGAATAACCATGACACGGTCTCCACGCTGGTAAGAAACAGGGAATATTTTAGTGAAGCAGAGAAATCGAGGGACACTACAAGGTTCCCGTGCTAAGAAGCGAGATTTTAACCTCCCGGACCCCCCCTTTCATTAAGGCCTTAGTCACCGTATACACTGATGTGCACATGCCATCCTCCACACCAGCGTTAAACTTCACCAGTTACAAAAGAGGTGTTACCCCCGCCGAGGCAGGAGTGGAAAATGAATATACGCTTGAGCCCATTGTGCCATATTCAGATGTGCAGCAAGACATCTGGCTGCCATGAAGCCTCTGGGACATATTCAGCAATGACTTGAACGAAGATGGGGTATGCGCGAGACAGGCATCAGTAATGTAACTTGGACCAATTCAGCAGTCAGCCGGTGCACAAGACAAGTAACACTGCAGCAGCAAAGGAAGGAGGTGCAGCCAGATAAGTAACTTACAGAAGGATGTAAAGGGAAAATAGGGGGACTTCATCTTTACACCTTTGCCTGCTACTAGTCTCCCAACCGGGGAACACGTTACACCAGCTTGCTGAACAGTTCCTACGCGACAATACAACTCACCTGGTCATCACCACTGATCTGCTCACAAGGAGGGCTAGAAAAGTGGAGCTGCGCCACTGTAAGCACTCTAAGCCGATGGGAGGGAGCTCTGTCGGCTTAACTACTCCCCCCCCCACGAGCATGGTAGCTGTGTGAGCGGGAGAAGCTCTCCCACAGACATCACACTACCCACACCGGCGCTTAGGTCCATGTCACTTATGTCGCTCAAGGGGGTGACTTTTTCACACCCAAGTGACATAAGTTATACGGCAGTGAGTGCTTGTGTAGACATCACCTAAATCTTCCCAGAGAGGGTAGCATTTCCATTAAGCGCCCCAGCTTTTGTGAATTCCCCTCTCAAAATAACTCTTCCACAAAGCCACACACCTCAGGCCCGGAGAAGCAGCAAAGAAAACCTTTCCCTTTGATCCTTTATGAACACCCCAGCAATAGGAGCGGTATAAAAACCATGCTCTTTGTATGAATGCACAGGGAACTCCCGCATCACCAGTGCAAAACTGAAGAGTCGGGAGGTGGAAGCTCAGCCAAAGTCATGAGTTCTTTTTGGAAGCTTAGCTGATGCTGTAACACCAAGTAACTAACCCAGTGTCTACTGAGACTTTTACCACACTCCCCAGCTACAGGGCATTTCACAGCAGCAGTGAGGACTGAAGCAGGAGGATCGGAGTTCTAAGACGTCAGCCTCTACTAAAGCTAAAAGCAACACTCCATGAGTAGTACAGCTCTATTATCCTTAAGCAGTCCCAAGTCCAAGGCCAGTGATGAACTCTAGCCAGTTCATTAAGATGATAACAAGTCAGAAGGATGCCCATAGCCAGATGGTGGATTTTACCTACACCAGAAGATCTCACTTTAATAAGGCAGCAGTTACACATAGTGGTACTCAGCTGGGTTTTAAAGAGAGTGCTTCATAATTAGGATGAAAAGAGAGTCTTCCCAGTGTTATGCACGACAGGAGAGAGTTGTTTAGTTTAATCATGAAAAACTATGAAGATTTTTCCGTTAGGAAAAGTGACCTAGATGGGTCTATAAGATACCATGGATCAAACGAGACTTCTCTTTGATACAGATAACGTATGCAAGCATCAGAATGGTCAAATTCTGTAGGACATGGGTCTCCTTTCTCAGATTAAGAAAGACAAAACTCCTTTGTGGGCTCTGGAGGACTCCAGATGGTTTGTTTGCAAGAGAGTTTTTTTCTGAAACCAGGGCAGCACTGGGCTCTGCAATTGGCACAACAATTCTGCTTATCATGCACAAGCAGGAGCAGAATCCAGCTCATTCTGCCCTAGCCTTGCAGAGCCCACACTGATAACAGGAGGAAAGAACTTATTATCATTAAACCAGCCACGTATGACTCTTAACGAGCGCAATGTGGACAGTGCCGTTGTTACCGTTATTTTCCCCACTGTTACTACACCTCTCAGCAGAGCTGTGTGGAGAAAGATAATTCCGTTTCATGGAGGATTGTGCTATTTTGAGATCTGGTTTGCTCTGGTTAGGAATTAAAACTCAAATTCTCCACCCCAGGGAATGGAGTCCCAGCCCTGGGGCAGTCTGCATGCCTGGATTCCATCGCAACGTCGATGAAATTGGACTGTTGCAACAAAAGTCTGATTTTGCCAAATCAGAAAATTCCAATGAAACATTAGTCAGAATTCTCCCAGCCAGCTCTACTTCTCAGCCTCAAGGAGTGCCCTTAGCATGTCCCAGGATTGCAGGGATTCTCACGATCCACGTCTCTTAGCACATCCTCTGTATGATAACTACCTAACTTCACCTTGTCCTGAGAATGGGCAGAGGCTCTAGGAATGGTCCTTCTCTACACCCAGAACTGCCCTACAGCACTGGGATGTAGCTCTATAGATATTTACCTTCCAGTCCACTGGGGTAGCAACCTTGTTCTTTGCAGTCAGCTGCAGGGAATCCACTACTCTTAGGATCTCATCGAAGTTTCTGCCAGTGGTTGCTGGGTAGAGGATTGACAGTTTCAGCTTCTTATCTGGGCCGAAAACAAACACCTGAACAGCAGAGAGACATAAGGAGCTACTCTGGGAATCTGAATAGAAGAGTAACCTGAATTTATATCAGCTACAAGCATTTAACAGTGTCAGGTAAGCCACATTTCAGTGAGACAGGTATTCCAATATGGATAGTTTCCCTCATCCATCAACCACCACACTGCCTCCTTCAAAGCAATTCCTGCTCCATAGAATCATAGATTATTAGGGCTTGTCTACAATACCTGCTGGATCAATGGACAGCAATCGATCCAGCGGGGAGAGGGATGGAGTGGGGGAGGGTCGATTTGTCATGTCTATACTAGACACAAATAATCGACAGCCAAGCACTCTCCCATTGACTCTGGTACTCCATCAGAGGGAGAGGCGCAGGCGGAGTCAACGGGAGAGAGTCAGCCGTCGACTTACCGCAGTGAAGACACCGCGGTAAGTAGATCTAAGTATGTTAACTTCAGCTACTTTACTCATGTAACTGAAGTGGTGTAACTTAGATCGATCCCCGCACTACTGTAGACCAGGCCTTTGGGTTGGAAGAGACCTCAGGAGGTCATCTAGTCCAATCCCCTGCTCAAAAGCAGGACCATCCTTCCTACCCATAATCCCTATACTCTCCCTCTTCTGAAAGGCAGTCGTGGGTCCTGTCCGTTTTAGACTGTAAGCATTTAGGACAGAACAAGTGTTATTTACATTGATGGCACTATGTTTATTATAAAACAGCCTCATCTCTTGTAGAGGAAAGATGCAGCCACATACAAAGGAAAAACGGCCATCTGCTCTTATGCAGTATCTAATATTTCAGGTGTGTAGTTTATTTTACTGTGTGGAGCATTACCACCACCTCCCTCTGTGGGTCCCTACCTTGAAAGGGGACAATAACGGTCTTTTAATGTTAGTGCTGGAGGGGAGAAGGAACGTCACAAAACAAATTTTAGGCATCCACAGAGGCCCTCTGCCCCTGTTTAGTTCTACTCCTTGCCCATCTGAGATCCCAGACAAGGAGTGTTACCGATCTCGTCACGCTCTCAGCAGGACAAAGGAGCGCAGGATCAGCAAACTAACACGTAGTTGGGAGGCAGAAGCAACTGGCTCCTGGATAGTCTCCCTCATCCGTCTCCCTACCCAACTGAGGGTAGCTATAGCTAGGAGAGGGATCACCCACCCAACCCCCCCCACTGGCAAACCTCAGCGGGACAGGATTCATTGAATTGCTTTGAAGATCTGCTCCATTCTCCAGCCAGTCAGTTACTCTAGTCACTCGTATGCAATGGACTGGTTACTTAGGCTGCTGCACGGGGATAGTGTGCTAGTATAGACAAGGCACCAGGGGCTTAGGCCCCATGTCATCCAACCCTATTCATGCCCACGCCCGGTCTACACTAGTGCCCCACATGCAGCCTGTGCTCACCACACGCGCCGTCAGCGGCATGCCATCCTTGTCCCGCTCATCTGGGTCCAACATGCCCAGCTGGATTGAAAGGTCCCGCTTTGCATCAGCAATTATGGGAAAGGGGAGCTTCTCTGTGGGCTCATCACCATTGTAAGCATTGATGTCCTGTAGCAGGAGGGGAGAGAAAGCACAGGCATGCTCAGCACTTTCTGAAGACTCAGATCAAAAGGGGGGGGAGGGGGAAGAGAAATCCGCTCCAATTTTACGAGCGACACCTCCAGATTTCAATGTATGGATTAACATGGTACTCCTGGGCCAAGGCAATGAGGATTCGTGGCTCAGGCGACCTTAGATTTCTGGGGTGGGGGATTCTTTTCTAAACAAGATTTTGAATTCGATTCTCAGTGCTGTAATTACCCATTGGGAGTGACATTAGCAGAGGACAAGAGGGCAGATGTGTGGAGGAACAGGGCTACAGTGTAGAGAGAAAACTTCTTTCACTTTTACAATTACAGGTACTTGCTCCCTCTCCCATCACCCGCCACCACCACACTGACTGCGTGCCTGGTTTCTACCTTTGGTTTCTACCATTTTTAAGCAATAGCCTCACTGTAGTTTGTACAGAGACAAGGAAATGCCTCCCCAAGCACCGATCAGAGCTGTCACAAGAGATGGTTTACTGTGATGATCACTGCCTTTAAGTACAGGTTGGTGTTCATTGTAGGATGTGCAAGGAGCTTTATGGGTCACTTGCTCATCCTGTATAACTCAGTCACACTCCGCTGTGGGCTTTCCTTGCCAGTGAGGCTGCCGTTCAGTGCTCTGATGTTACTCTGCAATTAAAGTGCACTACTGCTGCAAGAGGAGAGGACATTTTCTTTCCTGTACTTGCCAAACCCCATCAGTCAGTGGCATGCAGGCAGTGGGGAGCAGCCTGGGAAGGTACAGCCGGCACCAAGGGACTAGATTTAGGATCATTACAGTCTCTTACCCAACATCATGACTCCTATTTTCCTTTACAGAACTTTCCCTGGGGAGGGGAAGAATAGTATAGAAAGAACCTTGAGGCACCAACCAAAGGAACAGAGGGTTGGCCAAACTGGATCAGAGCAGAGGTCCAATTAGTCCAGTATACTGACAGGGGCCAGAACCCAGATGCTTCAGAGGAAGGGGTACACACCCCACCATAGCAGATGTGAGATAATCTGCCCCTATGTTAGGTCATGCCCTAGTCTAATAGTTGAGAGACCGACATAAGTTCCAAAGCTAGAAAAGTTTAATATTCCTTCCAAAATGTTAGCAGTGATTATAACAGCTCTGGATAGCTTTTGTATCCACATCTCAACTCTTCTGAATCTTACCCCAGGCTTGGTCTCAACAACTTCCTCTGCCAGCGAGATACACAATGAGATTAAATTGTGTATTTCACCTGATCAGTTTTGAATTTGCCCCCTTTTAGTACAGTTGAATGTGCCCTTGTCCGGGTGTAAAGGGACTGGAGGGAGAAATTGAATACTCTGTATGAGCACTAAAGCAGTAGGCAGAATGGACTTGTGCTTCCAAGGACCAGATTTTATTCTGTTGGGGGAGTCCACTGTGAAGAACAACATTACACAAACTCTGTTTATCAGTATGGACAGAAGACACTGAATTCCTTCATGTCAGCAGGGCCTACAACAGAAGTTGTAGTACATAAAGTACAAATGACTGAAGCACTTTAACCTCTGTTACAAACACTATATAAAGAAAGGTTTCAGAGTAGCAGCCGTGTTAGTCTGTATCCGCAAAAAGAAAAGGAGGACTTGTGGTACCTTAGAGACTAACCAATTTATTTGAGCATAAGCTTTCGTGAGCTAAGTGAGCTGTAGCTCACGAAAGCTTATGCTCAAATAAATTTGTTAGTCTCTAAGGTGCCACAAGTCCTCCTTTTCTTTTTATACGAAGAAAGTTACGTTTTACGTAGGCATGTCAATTAATCGCAGTTAACTCACAAGATTAACTCAAAAAATTAATCATGATTAATCGCACTTATAACAATAGAATACCAACTGAAATTTATTCAATATTTTTGGATTTTTTCTACATTTTCAATATTAATTTCAATTACAACACAGAATACGAAGTGCACACTGCTCACTTTATATTATTATTTTTTATTACAAATATATGCACTGTAAAAATGATAAAAGAAATAGTATTTTTCAATTCACCTCATACAAGTACTGAAGTGTAATCCCTTTATCATGGAAGCGTAACTTAGAAATGCAGATTTTTTGGGGGGTACATAACTGAACTTATGACAAATGTTTAGCATATGGGCACGTAAATGCCTTGCAATGCCGGCTACAACAGTGCCATTCAAACACCCATTCTCACTTTCAGGTGACATTGTAAAGAAGAAGCAGGCAGCATTCTCTCCTGCAAATTGTAACCAACCTTGTTTGTCTGAATGATTGGCTGAACAAGAAGTAGGACTGAGTGGACTTGTAAGCGCTAAAGTTTCACATCGTTTTATTTTTGAATGCAGGGTTTTTTTTGTACATAATTCTACATTTGTAAGTTCCACTTTCATGGTAAAGAGACTGCACTACAGTACTTGTATGAGATGAACTGAAAAATATTTTTTTTGTTTTTTACAGTGCAAATATTTGTAATCAAAACTAAATATAAAGTGAGTACTGTACACTTTCTATTGTGTTGTAATTGAAATTAATATATTTGAAAATGTAGTAAACATCCAAACATTTAAAATAAATGGTATTCTCTTGTTGTTTAAAAAGATTAATCGCGCTGTTAATCACTTGACAGCCCTAGTTTTAAGTAGTACAATGCAACAATCAATCAATATCACACTTACAATATGTGCTGAAAGACCCCATATTTTGGGCAAAGTTTTTGAATTGGAGCTCAGATAAAGAGCGCTCACTGATGATGGATGTGAATCATTCAGTACATGCGATTCCGCACCTCTGATAGTTAAAAAGGTCCCATTACACACAGCTAGAGTCAAATTTAGACCTGGGGTAAGCAGGTACAACACATGCCGATGTCAGTAACAGTTGCACCACTTAGATCAAGGATACGTTCGGCCCCTGTTCTTTAATGGATGGAACTTTGCTCTCTAGTCAAGGCCTAGATCCAGCAATGACACCCAGGACAAGTTACCTGACTATCCTCAGTACTGGCTGGCGAGGGTAAAAAACACAAGAGAGAATGCAGACCAAGTCAGATTCGAATGGAAAATGCAATGCACATTTGCTGGGAAAAAATTACACCGTATCCACCCCACTTAGCATTAACCAAGGCCGTCAGTCTAATTTTCAGGGCAGGTTTAAAATAGCTCAGTGGTGCATAGTTTGCCTGGGCAGTGCGCTCCAAACACAGCTATTATTAATTCAAGTTTTCCAGGTCACTAATGTACAGTTATCTCCCTGATACAATTTCACTACCAGCATGGACAGGGCCTTAACAGTTCCATTTCTATTTTCCGTGGACTCTCTGCCCCCTCTGGAACCGGGCACAGACAGCTCTTGGGACTTCAAGGCAGCAGAGCGAACAAGGCTATTTTTAAAAAGCAAGTTTTAAGGTTTTGGAATGGAAAAGACAGGTGAACAAGGAGACTATTAGGAACCCGTAAGAACAACTTATCTTCCAGGCCCGGCTGTGATGGGGTGTTCAGCTCATGCTTGCCCTGAAAGGGTTAATGAAGACAAAGAAGGGGGCTAATTAACCCAACAGGCTGGCAGCTGAGAGATGGCTAAGTAATCCCCTGACTGAGTGAGGGAGGCCAGCTAAGGAGGAATCAGCTAGATTGGGGTTATAAAGGCAGGAAATTCACAGCAGAAAGGGGACTGCAGTCACTCCCTGGGAGAGGGGAAGTGTGTTTGGGCTGGAAAACCCAGAGAGAGAGAGGAAGGTAGGAGAGGGCTCAGGGAAAGGCAGTGAGGCTTAGAAGGGAACAGACTTTGATTGCTGGCTGGAGGGTCCCTGAGCTGGAACCTGGAGTAGAGGGTGGGCCTGGGTTCCCCTGTCTGTCAAGTCCTTTCCAAGTCCCATTTAAAAATGTATTTATATAGTTTGTAGTGACTTGCTTAGTGTTTACGCAGCATAGTAAGAGCAGAGCCACTGTGCCAATTAGAGTTTGTAGAACTGCAAAAAGTCTGAGGCAAACAGACCATGTTTTCCCAGAACAGCAGCTCTCTTGCTACCAGCACTGAACTATTTCTCCCGTTTTCATCGGAGTCTCCCACACAATATCAGTATGTATGTGAAGACTGATCCTTTGGTTATGTGTCACAGCCAACTCTTTATTGCCATAAACCTAATGCGGTGCTAATTCCTCAAGGATATTTTAAATTTGTTTGTTACCACTCAACTCCTAATGAGTCTGGAAAAGCCTCTCTATATTCTCTTTATGCTACTCTAAGACTTCTACAATTCCCACAGCATGGCAACAATATTTTATACAATTAGACAGATGTCTTGTTACTACTATTTATATCTTGTATAGAATTAAGCTGTGAGCTTTTGGGGGCTGAAATAATCGTTATCTCTACTGCAGCCTCCTAGCTAGAGCTGTGTGAATAATTGGGTTTGGGTTTTTCTGGTTTGGTGGCCAAACAAGGTGGAGCGCTGTTTTGGTTTCACCCAAAACAAAATGCAAGTTGGTTTGGGTTTTTTTTTTTTTTTTGATGAACTGAAGTTAAAAAAAATTCAAGTTTGACCAGAATCTAACATTTTGTTTCACAGTGTTCCGTTTGATGTTTTTACTTTTAAAAAGAAACTAAAATTAAAAAAAAAAAAACCACACACACTTGTTGTGGGTGCAGTAAAACAGAAATGTGCTAGGAGTAGAGCTGGGTGAAATCCTTCAGACAAAGCAGCACAGATTCAGGTTGACAAACATTTCACAAATTGGTGTTTAATTTGCTGAGTTGTTTCTGTTGGAGGGAAAAGTAAATTGTGGATTTTTTGTAATTTGAACTTTGAAGTCTTTAAACCACGATTTGAGAACGTCAGTAACTCAGCCAGAGATTAGGGGTCTGTTACAGGAGTGCGTGGGGGAGGGTCTGTGGCCTGCAATGTGCAGTAGGTCAGGCTAGATGATCATCAAGTCTGTGAGTCTAAACAGAGTGCTGCTCTATAAAGGGATCTAGAAAGCTCAC